TACGTTATACACATCGACTGTCCACTAAAATGTTAAGAATATGACGTCAATTTCGTATAATTATTTTAAAAAGGTAAGGTGTGATAGTTAAATACTCTTTTTCTCCAATAAACATTTGATTTACATTACATGCCATATCAGACAAACAAACTAGCGCGCAACTTAACCAACCGTGTCCTATATAAATAACATTCACTAGTATGGTTTTTACCTCCGAGATATCAGACAATATATCATTCCGCATAGTTTAACTACTTATAGTGATAGTGAAACCGAATTATCAAACTGCGAGAGTAATCCAACCAAAACTGTGTGGCTTAACATTTACTTAAGGTTAATCAACTTGACTTAAACAATTATATATGATACTGGATAGATTAGTTGTTCTGATGTTGAAATTAAAATAAATAAGTATTATTTGCCTTTCAAAGAGCATGTAAATTCGTTCAATGAGCATGGTGGAGGTGATTCATTCAGGAATTTTGAATATATTCCACAGAGTTGGGCAATAAGGGTTCCGCTCAATATTTTCTTGCCTTTATCCCTTGATAGTACATAAAACGTATTAGTTTTAAAGTATCTTTGTTTGCCAATAAACGAAATGGTGCAGCTAGTAAACTTTAGAGAGAAAAGTCAAGAAATTCGGTAAAGATATTTTTCCCGTGACTCTATTCTCGAAGGTTGTTCAATTGCTTTTTATACATAAACTCGCTTGGTTGCAATTATTATTTAATTCAACATGATAACAAGGGTAGCCTAAAGGAGACAGTTCTCAATTAGATGTGAAATTCTCAGATTTAATGAAAGATGAATATTTAAATCTAGAAGACATCTACAAAACATCTATTATAAAATGGTTGAATATGTTTATCTTCCTCCTCATATTATTCATGTTTTGAATTACATTTTATCGGTTTATAAGCTATGTACTTCGGTGTGTCATTTTGTATTTGTTTGTTCGAATTACATGGTAGGAAGGAAAAGAAACCACCGGTAATTAGTGTAATGGCAATATTTCATGATTATTAATCCTAACAAAGGAATAGCGCAGGATTAGATATAGATATCAATGGGTATGTGGTTCATTAATTCAGGCACTCGACTTTCAGTCAGTTGGTCCTGGGTTCGAATCCCACTCTATCTACTTCAGCCTGGGTGCGATTCATGCCTGTTTATCTTAGGCATGAGAAATCAAGTGACTGTCGAAGAAAGTTATAGACTTGCCAGTTTCCAAAATTGCATTCTGCAATGATTTCTATAGATGTTTTGTTCGACAACATACACCAATTTTTTGATTTCTGACAGGCATTCACAGAAGGAAACATAAATCATCATACTAAAAATTTTTAACTTCTTAAGTATATATCACACATCGCACTCAGCATTTAGAGATATAGTAGACAGTATCTTCAAACACTTATTGTTGTTCAAACGTCCGAGTTACATAATGAACTTCCCGGATTCTCTGGGCCTTTCAGTAGATATCGTTTCACCACCTATATTTTCTGTGTGAATTAGTATACTTTTATTTATTTAATTATTTTTATTATAGCTTGATTCCACACACTCTTATTTTGGTACAAGATTGGAATTTTCAGCATGTGATATCGGTAGCCCAAATTTAGCAGGCCGACCACTGATATCAGGTGTGCTTCAGCCGCGGATTGAACCCCGGACCATGTGCATGGTCGGTGAGCGCCCTAACCACTGTGCCACCGACGCACAATTACTAGAGTCATAGATAAATTAATTACGAGAACTTTTGTATACCTACGAATGAACTTTGATGTCATATAGTGGTTGCACAACTGTTTCCCCTGACGACCAAACAAACGATAAAGTCAAATGTTCTCAAACACTATCCCAGTCTGTTGATGATTATTATTGTTACACCTTCTGGCATACGGTTAACCAGCTGTAAAGTTAGTAAGACTTTCTTCAGTGAGAGGTGTATTACAATAGCAAACTGGTCTATGCATTTTATTGTTTCTATGCCTAACTGTAAAGGGATTTTTCTCTTTTTTTTATTTGAGTGTCCGTATTTCCCAAGATGCAAACTTCTGTTCACGTGACAACACACCATTTTTCTTCCTAGTTCGCGTATGCTTCCTCTTAATTCCTGTTTAGTCAATCAATAACTAGCCAGATTGAGTATCCAAGAGGAACATTCATCCTCAATGTTAATTTTATTTTCTAGCTAAAAATTAAACTGTACATCTACTCCTAATATATAAAACAAAAGATGAATGAAAACTTCACTATGAAAATGGACGGTTTTAGCAATAAAAATGATTGTACAACTAAAGGTCAAAAAATTTGGTGGAGTTAACCCATTAGACAGTAAGTACCACACATGTAAATGAAATATTTTTAGTATTATGCTTGAAACATAAGTCTGAACTTTCATTTCAACCTTGGCCATAACATCATTACATTGAAATCAGTCTGTTAAAATGTACCCCTCTCATGCAGTATGAAAAACAGACGAATAAGGTCAGAAGTTTTGTTACTTGGTCTCTAGTCTAATTATCTTTGTATCCTCAACTAATGTATCGTTAATGTGGCTAGTGGTATTTGACATGAAACAGTTTTTAAATAAAAAGGCACGATAGAGGTCATTTTATTTTTTAAAATTCAATTTAAGATTTTCCTGTCGACTGATTGGACCGAAGTGCTCGGTCTCAGGTTGACATGTCGGCTTCTTGTGCAGATGCTTCGACGATGTCTGGATATGTAATTATAAGTTAATTGGTGGATGGTGACTAGCAGTGGAATCCAGGATGCACATTTCGTCCTATTTGGGACTCGTTAGCTGGATGTACCTGCATTCCGCAATGAGTAATGATGTTCCCACCGAGGATCGAACCCAGTGCCCATAGTTTCAAACGCTAAAATTACGTCAATTACATGCCCAGACATTGTCGAAGCATCTGCACAAGAAGCCGACATGTCAACCTGAGACCGAGCACTTCGGTTCAGTCAATCGACGGGAGAATCTAAAATTGAATTAAATAATTAATATGATCCGTTGCATAAGTGGTGGCTCTCTTGGCCCAAGTGGTCTGGCGGATAACACTTCGGCGTTCAAAACTATGGGCACTGGGTTCGAGCCTCGGTGGGATTATCATCACTCACCGCGGAATGCAGATACATCCAGGTGACGAGTCCCAAATAGGACGAAATGCGCATCCTGGATTCCACTGCTAGTCACCATCCACCAATTGATTTCTAATTATATGTTATTTTTTTGTCTAAAAATTTACCTGCCAAGTTTCGAAAGATAATTGCTATGGAGTGGGGGAAAGATGCTGACTAGCCGACGGATAATCAAACAGGGAAATTAAAATTACTTTATTGTAGCAGTCATCACTAGTCGTATTGTAAAGAGACTTACGCGCTCTTAATCGATACGGAGTAAACTACCTTACCTAACACTGGAAACCATTTCCATGCATTTGTTGCCTTTACAACTTGGAAAAGTGAAAATTTCGCTGAACACAGTTTTCCTTCATTAATTTATCTTCACACGGTTAGATAAAATAAATATTTCAATTGTGAGAAGTCTTTTCAACACTAAACATGAGCACAGAAGTTGAACTTCGACTTCATGGGTTTTCATCGCTATTATGGATTTGTTACCGAATAGGTTGAGTTCACATTAACAACAAGCCTCAGGCTACATGAAATCAGTCTTCTAGTGCTCTCTGGGTTTCAATAATTTTCTAAAAATAACAGCAGCATGGGATGTCTTCAGTGTATCTCAATCTCGTTAGGCTAATTAGATTGCAAAAGAAATAAGAAGATATGGTACATAATTGTTAAGGATCATTGAGAGCCTATTGCTGAAGGGAATATTTACAATATAATAATATTTGATTTTAGATTCAAAGTATAGTGGGATTCGTCTCAATGTTGAGAATTAATCTTTAATAAGAACAAAAATACCACGACATCTCTGTACTGCGCATAGATTTAGTTCTTTTTTCTCAAAAGCGCAAACAAATACCTTCACATTTTGCTGAGGATCCATTGCAATATGATGCATGAAATTATTTCACTACATAGATAGGCAGACAAACATTATCACAACATGACACTACTTATATAACGAACCGGATAGACTTACAAATTAAACAACCAGTGAGTTTACTGGATTTCTCTTCAATATTTGGAACAAAGTTACGCGCTACTTCATAATAGTTATATAATTATCCCTCGAATAATGCCGACAAGACTAAACGCGCTTAAATTTTATCCCGTATACACTATATAAAAGTAAGAATACTGTTGACATGAGAGAAGTAAATTTAGAATAGAGTAACTATTTCCACCAGGTAATCTGGTCATTACTGATTGTATATATTTATTGATTCATGTCAGTTCATTGATAACAAAGAGATAAGCAACACTGGTACAGACAATTTTGACCTTTAATAATTTGCTTCTGTACAATAAAAATTAGGGCATGCGCACAATACACAAAGAAAACACGGTCTGGAGGAGATCATATATGTCGTGCACATAAAATAAAAGCTTCAGGGTAGACATATTTGAATAAGGATAGGATAGACAGGCATAATTAATCAATAATCAGCTATCTCTGTATATTTATCGATAAAATGACCATAAATTCATGAAAATCAAACAATAAGCATCATGAATAATGAGGATAAGATAAACTGGTGAAACAACGATTCGATAAAATCCCTGAGAAGTGTAGATTCCATCAGGCAAATGCAAAAAAAAAATATTAGTATGCATAATTGTAAATAAAAATGACAAAACTGGAAAATGATGAAAAAGACGACAAAATGGGAATCATATTCTCATTAATGAATGAAATATCTCTTTATGCAAAATAGGAGGAAATAAAACAATCGATAAAACATCAACGAAGTAAACAATAAATGTAAGTAAGTAGACGAACAATTGGTGCACAATATACAATCTTGGATTCACTTGTTATTATTATTATTGTTTGTAAGCAAAACGCTCAATATTCAAGAATATTTTGTCATAAAATTCAAGTGAAAATCTTTCAAACGATCCATAACCACCTTCATTTCTTCAATTCTAGGAAGAATTGTAATTCTGTAACAGAGTAAAAAAGGTATTACACAAGTTAGTTGGTTAAATAGAAATAGCTTACAGCAAAAATGAATGGATTGATTGGGAAAGCAAAGTAAAGGAGGAAGATAGAGGCGCCGTCACGGCAGTCATCAACTGGATATTACTTAAGGGTAAAACAAGTAAATTAAGGTTGCTTCATTTCAATGTATAAACTATTCATAAGCATAAACACAGTGTTTCAAGCGTTAAATGAAGAACTATAATCCAGTCAGACACTTGATCGAATGGCGAAACGTTTCTATAATTTGAGTTACAGTTATGTTTCATTCTTCCTTCTTCTCTTACATGGTATTTCAGACGATCTACACATTAAGATCATAAATATCCAGGCCATAGATGTTGTAAAACTCCTGGAATAATTTGAGTGCCGAGTAAAACTGAATCATTTAAGATAATCCCAGAATGTTTAGGAAATTATTATTATTGTTTCTTTTAGTTCCTAGAGGAATATAGTACTTCAGCCTCACGTCTATATTGGGTTTGGTTCTCTGCCAACGTTTTCACCTGGCTCCACGTCCACCCAAATGCTTTCATCTCCTCTTCACATGGCCCCCTCCATGTCACCCTCGCACTCACGACCAACTCGCCGCTTCCCTTTCGGGTTTCACTCGAGCAATGGCCTGGCATGTGATTTCACTTGATGGTTTTCTCAGAGTATGGCCAGCCAATCCACCTCCATTCATCCCTGCATATTTGTTGCACAATCGATTCCTGCTGGGTTGGTTCGCTCCCAGAGATCCCTCACTATTGCTGATCTTTTCTGGCTGGCCATGTGTCTTGAGTATTGAGCGAAGACAGCTGTTGATGGAGGTCTGTAGTTTGTTCGAAGTGCTCTTCATGACGCGCCAAGTCTGTGATCCGTATAATAGCACTGACTGCACACTGGAGTTGAAAACCCGGATCTTATTTTTAATGCTGAGTGCTGTTGACCTCCACACAGACTTGAGAGTAATGAAAGCTTGCCTTGCTTTCCCGATCCTCACTTTTTTTTTTTATTCCTTCACGTTCCCCAGTGGAACATAGGGCTTCAAGCTAGAGTCTTGAAGTTTCTGTAGCAGTGTTTATTTTTACGGGATGGGGTTGCTAGCCTCATGCCCAACCTTTCCTCTTCACCAGCATTGATCCTGGCTTAGCGAGGTAAAGGAGTGCGCCGGCCGGGGATCGAACCCCCGACCATGTGCATGGTCGGCAAGCGTCCTAACCACTATGCCACCGACGCACTTAGATATATATATATATGTATTTCTCCCATTTATGCTGATTTTTGTCTGTTGTCGTTGTGACCGTTGATGTTGACCAGGAATCTTTGTCACCTCTGTTTTCTCTATATTCACCTGAAGTTCTATCTTTGATGCTTCTTCTGACAACTTGTTGCTTTTCACTTGCATATCTTCCAGTTTGTGGGAAATCAGACATATATCGTCGGCGAAGTCCAGATCCTCCAAGTTTTGTGTGGGTCTATTTTATGCTTGTTTCCCCGCTGCCCGCTGTCTGTCGCATTATCCAGTCCACCGCAATCTGGAAAATCATTAGAGATAGTAGGCAGTCTTGACTTACTTCCGTCTTCACTGAGAAGGATTCCGTGAGTTTCCCGTTGTGGATTACTTGGCATGCAGCATTGTTGTGCAACTGTTGGATGAGATGTATAATTGTTGGCGCCAAATCACGTCTCGATCGGCGCTGTCGAAGGCCTTTACCACAGCAAATATATATACAGGCGCATATATGCAGATGCCTAGTAGCCATTGTTCAACGGACACTAAATGTTTCGGCACATCTATATATGAAAGTTCACTGAAAACAAATACAAAGTAATTTGAATTAACTTGCCTAAAGTGCCAAGTTCCTGGTGTCTGACCAAAACCAGATCCAGGGACAACGCATACTCCATGTTCTTCCAAAAAACCCAAACAATACATGAAATCTGGTTCCATACCCTTCGACTGAAAATTTTTGAAGAAATAAGCAAACAATTGAAAAATTACAATAGCAACAAACAAAAAAAAACGAAACATCTTGTTATTTAACAAAATAGTCGGGGAAAATTTTTTTTATTTGTTAGAATATGCCACGAACCAACATCAGTTATAGACAATTGAGAACAGTGAAGCACTGGATAGCTGTTTCGTTCTAGCTTGGGGCTCGCTATCAGTGCTCCCAACCAAGACCTTCAGGTTACGAGGCCAGGCGCGTTGAAAATTGCAGCCACTAAGGCCGAGATTCAATGACCCGTGAATTCTAACTTTGTCGATTTGTGATATAGCACTACCTTCAACCAGTGGCTTCAATGAACATCCACTACACCTTGGCACGGTGAACTCACTGGCCATGACTTCCCACTACAGCTTCAAGACACTCATCGAGTGACCATCAGTAAGCTGGAGATTGATAATCTAGACAGTGGGATTTTTGGGAATTTAGGTTTCATAACAAACGTTAGATCCCTGGTGGGGTTGTAGGTGAGGACTACTGAAGAGCCCGAAACTAGGACGAAGCAGCTGTTCAGTACTCCTTGGTATTCACTGACCTCTTACTGATATTGCTTCATGTCGAAGTGTAACAGTTTAGATTAATCCAAATCCCTACAAAACACATAATCTAAAAATGTCTTGTTTTGATTTTCTAAAGAACCGTTTATTCTATTGTGTAACTTTATCATTTTTGTTTGTTTTAAACAATCTTCAGTAAGGAAAAAGATACAATGCTCATTCATAAGCCTATTAATTATAAGTGACTTTCAACTTCTTGGCCGGTGGCATCAAGACGGATTCAGAGTTCTAGCTACTCTCCGGGAGTAAATGTTGCTTGATAGTCATATCTAGGCAGTAGGTTTCTAAGTTGAACACATATTAAATTCTCAAAAGAATGGATACTGAAAAAAGAATACTCTTTTCGATAACTTCATCATCAGGCTCAACAGTTCTATATATATTACAGTAAATGAATGAATTAGTGTTATGAACAACATTAATGTTTAAATAACATCAAATCAATAGTAACATTAAAAGATTACAGTTCAATAGCATCAACATAAAAATAAGCTGAATGTCAAAAAATTAGGAAAAATAATATTACAAATTTATGAATTTATAGTCTCTACTGAAGGTCGGGGCAGTAGTAGGAGCTGGACTTGCTTCTTTTGCACACAGAGCACTGGTTGTTTGAGGCGAATTGCAATAGCCTCTGCTGTTTGGAGTATGCGGTGCTTCGACGTTTTTGGCAATTTATTTTGTATTTTAAATTGTATTTTCATGAATTAATGCTAACATATGTGTGGACTATTGCATCAGAAATATTTTGATCGGTACTCCTATCGTAGTGGCACTGGTTCAAACTGCTTATTACAAGTATCTTATATGATCACCTATTCCTGAAATTATATTCATTGCCTATCACTTATGTCTGTCTTTTAATGAAATAATCTCCTTTCTATCAGGTTAGGCGGCAGTTCTGCTTTGGAAAAAGTGGTGAGGTGTTTCGAAATCACCACAGTTAGTCAGTGAAGAGGAAAAATCAGTGGTATAATGTCTGCTTGATAGTAAATGGTGCTGAACTTCAAAGTGGATATTTCGTACTTACTAAGATCTCTCAGAACAAGTGTAGCTTCATAGAGTTCGTTTATTACTCCCACTAAAACTACAATCCAGTAACTTTTATTAGACCGTTGAGTGACACCACGTGCGAGGCTGTCGACTTGAAGCCGAATGGGAAAAGAGAGGCGAGTTGGGCGCCGAAAGAATGGGGAAGTTAAGGCTTACAGGCAGTCGTGCAGCCAGCTAAAACAGACTGCCATAAATGACATTATGTTACTGAAGCTCTGTGTTTCAGTAGGAACCAAAGGGACGAACACTATAATAGTAATAATACATTTTATTAAACAGTGTTTTCCACTAAGCTATTCAGTCATAACTTTCGTATATGTTTCCAACAGTTTTTTAAAAAACAATCAACTTTGGAACTGAGGATCGAGTCAAACATTTAATCAGGAATGGGACTAATCAAAATTTATTCTGTGCGAACTTCGACTCAGAGAGTAACAGACAACTGATCGATTTTATCCATCAAAAAAGCCTCCTTCCTCAAGCCAGAATTGTGTACTGTTTTATCATATGCATTTCCTCAGGATTGTTATTTGTGCATCTGAATCTTCTGTGTGCACATAGTTTTTTAACCATCTCAGTGCGTATTACTCATAAACTGGTAATTGTAGAATGTTGGCAGCGGACGGCCAATATTTGTGCATGATCGCACCCATTACTGATATAGATTTGGAACTATAAAATGATGCTCAATGGTTACATTTAACCGGGTGAATCTCCTTTCGATAAACTGACATCCATCTGACTACTGGTCATGGATGTTTATGTCCACCACCTCTCTACAGTTCTGCTATCTATGGCTATACTAAGTAAACTGTGTGCACGCGTATGAGACACAGTGCTTATAAGTGGGCTGAATAATCCCATGAAGTCAGGCTTGCGAGTTTGAATGAACTTTCAGAGCACAACCACACGGAGATTATATACTTCCATTTTTTTATTTTGCCTCGTTACCTTCTCGTTATTACTATTATTTTCTAAAAACCATTTCTATTACAGTTATATTTAACCTGAAAATGAAATAGTATGGATTGATTTTTTGTCTTTTATGAGACTGGTTTTGACTATAACTCCCCGTTGTCCCGCAGGTTTGCAACGTGAGAATACTTATTTACAGCTCATCTGATCTTAATTCATCGTAGGACGATGCAAACAACACCAGAAGCATCCACTCACATTTCTTTTTCCTCTAACTCTGTTAGTGGGATGAAATATCCGCTTTGTTTCGTAAACCAATCAACATTTGACCTTATTTTCTTAATACTTATATGGGATAATGGATTCGACTATTTTAATTTTAAAATAAATCACTGTATTATTGATCAGTTCGCTGGCAAAAGAGGACAGTTATGTATGTAGGGATAAATGAATTTTAAAGCTGGCACGTGATTATATTTTTTCAAAAACAAAGAATATTTCTACGGATAGCAAGGTTTATTCGGTAATGGATCGTAACATCCGGTTTAAGTATAAGAATCAAGCAAAAGTATAGGCAAAATACACTATAACTCAAATTCGTTTTCTTTAGTAGCATCGAGATTAAAAGTATGCGTATAGTGGAGTTATTTATCTCGATTAGGAGCCTAAGAAAGTGTTTTATGTTTGCATCTTTGATATTAAGTTCAGTTGTAATCTGACCTTCACTATAATTTACTTTCGAGCATTCCCAGTTACTATTTGACTTAATAATCAAATTGCCTTTAACACAGTTCGGCGTGAAGTTTCACCGTGGTTTTTGTTGGAAACCAAAATTATTCAGATTACAATATGTGGTCTGCTTGATACCATGAATGTCAGTCAGGGAAGCGAAAGTAACTGCATGGTGCCACATCCTAGTGATTAACTGATATGAATAGTCGGATAACATTCACATCAACCCGTAGCAAAAAACGGCAGCACACCTGATGAGCTCTGCCCCAAACGAACAAGACGACTGTCCGGTGTTTGGATCGTTGTGATCTGGGTAGCAAGCACTACTGGTTGGTGTGAGTGTTATACAATTACTCGTCTCAATCAATCAGTAGTATGCAACGTCATCTTGTAACAACAGAAGATAAGGGTCAGGCAACAGATCGTTTATTAAGGAAATCAAAGCATATTTATATATTTTCATGTACATTATTATAGATTAGTTAAGCAAACAAACACAGTCTTCTGATTGGTTGTTTCTCACGTAAAGTTAATCTTTTATCTATTTGTGACTGTTTCTTGAATGTCAGATCATCTATATGTTAACTGTATCCGCCTACGCAAAGTCTGCTGTGGTCGGTTTTGAATCAGTCTTTGTTCATATTTTCTCAGGACAAATCTTGAGAACGTAAACATTGACGTAAATTACTGTCTACCAATTTGGCTAGTAGACAGCTCTCACCACAACCTTATGCTAAACACTTGAACAAACAGTTGCAACTGTCTCTCTAGTTTTATTCCATATTAGTTTGTGCCCAAGTTTTACACATATATCTCTAGTTCTATGTATTATGTTGTTTCTCATAATTATTTTTCGAATAAGCACGAACGTTTGTAAATTTTATTTAGGCAACCAAGCGAAAAATCTGGGTTAGACTCAAGTCCAGCTCACTCCTTAATGTCATCTAGTGGTAAAGACTGGGAGTGATGCTAGCAACTCCACACGGCAAAAAACGAAATCGCCGCTACTTCAAGGCTTGAAGTATGATGAATTACTTGAAATGCAAGGAATGCAGAAGAAAATTTACTCCGTAGCTTGCAAACGCTTAATTATAGTCATGAGGAATTAAATAATACAATAAAGCACCAAAAAAGAAACTACCTTAGCAGTTTCAATAGCCTTTTTGGGCAAATCGATTCTTGGGAAAGCATACATGGCTCCAGTTATTGGATTACATGAGAAACCTGGTAGTGAGTTTAATGCTTTTGTAGTAAGGTCAGCTTTTTGTTTCAATTCTTCAAGTACTGCAGATTTTTCTTTCATGAATGAACTGTAGGATGGTTCATCTGGTTTTGGTGGATTCACAACAACATCCATAGTCAGCTAAGAGTTTTGAAAGACAGAGGAAGAAAGAGAATAATTTTGTAAAGTATTTCGATGGAGTAAGAGAAAACAAAAGTTCTTACCACCTTTTAATACTAAATTAGATTGTTTAGTGAATTAACATCTAATAGTTATAAGGTGCACGTAAGTCTAGTTGTGTCTTCGTATTTCCCATCACACTTGGCACTATGATTCACCAATGTACGACAGTAATAAATTAAATAAGTCACAAATGAAGACGGAGTATTGGAGTGCGGTTAGGCTGTAAGGCACAAACACGTATCCCACCAATAATTATATATATATATATATATATATATATATATATATATACCTTAGTAGTAATGGAAACTTGATACAAAGAATCAAGAGATTACACGGTCTAACACCATCTATATAGAAATGTGAGGTCACAGGATTGAACGTGGATAAGCCTATTTATCCACTGCTGTGATTCAGTAAGTCTCTAGATCAATTGAAATACATGGCTGACATTCAGTCACAACAATAGACTAACTTTGAACAACATGTTTTCTAAGTCATTCAAAAGACAGGATTATGAGCGAACTAGTATTTGGACACATTTGTTCTACTGTATTTGAATAGTCTAACATGTCGGTTAATTGCAGTCTAATTATATATCTCAACGTGATTAGGAAGTCCAGTTTTGTTTTGATGAGTTTACAAAGAAATATCATAGTGGAATTTGGAGAAGTCCTACAAGTACAAGACAGACAACTTCTTGCGTCCAAGATTTAACTTCTTGTCATCTGCAGGATAGGTTACATGATGTAGGAAATAGTATTTTCAGTAGCATAGATACAGATGAATCTCACTTAATACAACGCCCTTGAAACACAATTTCAGTCTAAGCTTTTCAGATGGGAAAAATCTCAAAACTAAAAATGATAACTAATGGAAAGGGATTTTAAAAAAAGGTTGGTTCAACGGAAATTGTGTCTGAAACCAAGTTAACTTATTTAGAAGTTGACAACATACAGAAGATGTGAGCTTATGTAGTACAATTTCTCAGATATGACTCTGCACAATTTGAGACATTTATTTCATGATAAGAATTTAAAACAAGGAACAAATGTTAATAAAGCAGAATTTAATGAATTCATTAAATTTAGGTAGAACTCATCATTTGAATACTCCACATACTGTGATATGTATACTATTAGAAATACATATAGAGATGTATAGCTGATAAGTAAATAAACTACAATGGATCAATCGCGCAAAAAGACAGATGCGAATGTATTACAGGTCAGGCTGTGATAGATAAGAAGGAAGGGGTATAAGTGACCAAAGATAATAATGGATCACGATTCGATTACATTACTTATATAAACAATTAGTTATCAGACAGAGAAATTGAAAATGTCAAGAATTGCAAACTGAATAATAATAACGAGTTAAGATAATGGTACTGACAAAAGATAGTTTTAAATGAGTCAAGAATAATGATAAAAGATAGAATAAAGTATTATTAATAATAACGGTTAATAAGTAAAAGATATTACCATGGTAGAATCAAAGCGACCACCATTTCCATCTCTATACAGGGACCGGAGCTTATAAACTGTAATTGCACAAGCCGCCGCAAATGCAAGCACCTCTCTGGCAACAGTGAATGACATGACAGCATCAGTATCATGTCGATTTTGATACTTTGACGTCGACTTTTTTCACCACTTGCGAAAACGCCCCACCATGTTAGTAGACAATCACCTTTCTGTACGACCTATGTATTCACTTTCACAAGTACACTCAAACTCATATATGCAGTTGGAAATCTCGAAGATTGGCCACCAGTCTTTTCCAGTTTTTTTGATGACCACGCTTGGTGGTGTTAAGGAAGACAAGCCTTGCAGCATTTGTTTTAAATCTCCACAATAATGAAAGTGCATATTTCAGTGAAGTTCTTTAAAAACGTCAGGAACTGTCTTAGGTTATTCAAACAACATACTTCAGACAAACAGTACTGTTGAAAATAATAACTTATTTAGAAAATGTTGACAGTAAGAATGCGGCTAAAAAGATAAGAATATCCTATAGGGATGTAAAATGTCCCAATGCATTGATACTCTTTATATTTTATCTGACCGTCCCACATAACTGAGTCCTAACTAACTTTGGTTCGGTTCATTATTTTGTAAAACATAGATAAGCGTAACATCATTATTAGATACACACAAGTGAGTGCCTATTTTCAATTTCTTATTTTCGTAAGGCTTCACACTTATAAGTAGACAGTTGTGTTTTATTCAGAACTCAGTGTAAGGCATAAATAAACTGTGCGTGAAAGAGTGAATCATAGTTAGTGATTTCCCCAGTTCACGTGATTCACACAAATTAATCTGCTTACCCTGGAAATGCTAGATTCAGCTTATTCATATCAAGTTGTCATTTAGACACAGTTAACCTAATTCTCCTCTGCCTTCTTCGTTAATTTATCGTGCTACTTCCTTATTACACTTCCGATTTTTGTTATGTAATGCATAATGCAATGATAATAGTGTTAATCCTATGGTGTCAATCAATATTAGCTTTTCCTTAAATATGCACTAAAATTATCCAGTTTCACCTATTGTATTCACATGACTTTTTGTGACTCATTTGTGCAAATCTCTTCCTACTGTCAAAGGTCACAGACACAAAACACCAAACAACCATATATGCAGTATTCTTTTATTTATATAATCACATCTCAGTTAAGAAACTATTAGTTTATATTTCAAACTAATCTCTAATTATTTTCATCAAGCATTTTACTAGTTTGGCTGAACTAAAACCTACACTGTTTATTGCATGGCAAATATCAAGAATTCCACCTATTGAAAAATGTCACCATAGGTATTGTGCGAAGTCTCTAGCTAGCTACCTCTGGTGATGCCGATTGTTTTGTAGGCCACACAGCTCAGCGATGCCGTACTGTAAAGATGGGCAGTATTTCAGTTACACAAGGACGGAACACTCCAAAACACCTCTTTCAGTGTTTGTATAACACCCTTGCTAACAATCCTACTTACTACACTGTAAGCAATTATTCGAATTTTCAAGTATTGGTTTGGTAGGGATTTTGTTTAATTGTATGGAGGATTTCATCATGAGCTGACATCAGTTAGAGAACCACTGGAAAACCTGGGAGTACTGGACAGCTGTTTCGTCCTAGTTTGGGACTCTTCAGCAGTACGCGCCCACCGGGATTCGAACCCAGGGCCTTCTGGTTACAAGGCGAGCTCGTAGACCATTGAGCCACTGGGACCCGATCCAATGGTCCTTGAATTCTAACTTCTGCCAATTCACGACATAGCGCGACCATTTCGCGCAAAATTGAAAGCATAGAATCAGTTCATTTATTATTCACAGTGCACGAAAATGCAGTTTTACCTTCTTAGTACATTGCATCTAGGATGGAATAGGATGACAATTTTAAAATCTTATGTCACAGGGTGGAGGGAGAGATTGATAACAGAAGCTTTGTTTATCGAATAAACTGAAAACATGTGTAATAGGAATGATTCAACACCTGTCCCAGATATCTGGAAAATAATACTACCCCTACGACAAATAGGAAAGAACAAAGATAACTATAAAACTCAAGTTTCAAAGTCGTGTGATTTTAATTGATATGATTACGAACAATAAACTTTGTTCGAAACGTCATCCAGTAAATAATACTGTTTCACTGTGTGATACATCGAATAAACAAACTAATATGGAATCGCATTGTATCTAGAATTTTTTACTCTTGTAACTTTTCCAACCAATGGTTATAATCATTTCTACGGTGGATAAAATTTATTTTGATAAAGTCTCACAGTGTTATACAGCAATATTTACTGATGACATTTTGAGCACAATTTATTGCTCATAATCATATCATGGTACTCACACAAGTTTCTAACTTCGTTTATATAATTCCATTATTTTTCCTCGCTTGATTTGATTGGTGGTAGTATTTTCGATATTTCCGGTATGAGTGATGAGTCATTCCTATTGCATGAGTTGGGTGTAGACTCGATGAACAAGGATTCAGTAATTAACCTCTATGTCCACCTACCTATACTACTTTTTAGAATTTTAACTCTCTTCCATCCTGTTGTGTGGTTGTGTGTTAATGCATGCAGTGCAATTGCTGAGTATTTTTTCTAAATTACTTATCATCTTAGAATGATTGACCCCGCGAAGATAAGCGATTTAGAAAAAATACTCAGCAATTGCACTGCATGCATTAACACACAACCACACAACAGGATGGAAGAGAGTTAAAATTCTAAAAAGTAGTATAGGTAGGTGGACATAGAGGTTAATTACTGAATCCTTGTTCATCGAGTCTACACCCAACATATGCAATAGGAATGACTCATCACTCATACCGGAAATATCGAAAATACTACTACCAATCAAATCAAGCGAGGAAAAATAATGGAATTATATAAACGAAGTTAGAAACTTGTGTGAGTACCATGATATGATTATGAGCAATAAATTGTGCTCAAAATGTCATCAGTAAATATTGCTGTATAACACTGTGAGACTTTATCAAAATAAATTTTACTCATAATGGAATTATACTCCACCACAGTGCACAAGTTCTGTTCTTATACCAACGGTCACAATCAATATTGTGCACATACATACAATTAAAATGACTTCATTGTTTAGCAAGATGCTATATTACTACTGATTGATATGAACAGTTGGAAGCTGCTAGTCGCCAGACAGGGACGATCTAAACATTGGATAGTATTCTCAGTTGGCCTCAGCCTAGATAATCAGTTCATACCACCCGAATTCTCACTAGTTATCAAGACGAAGAAAATTCGTCACTTGCAAATTACACAATTCATAGTGAAAATCCGTGTTTTCCTGCGCGACTCTAAAATATTCAGATCAACAAGGTGATATATACTCCTCTTCGACATCAGCAGTTAAAAATCACTTATATCAAACAGTATTGTTAGTTATTTAGATCATATTTATGCCCCGGTTTGTTTAATTTGCAAATAACTAATTTAATTTAGTTTGACCATTTGTCAAACTTACTACATATAAATATACCTGAATTTTACTGTAATTTGTACAACCATTTTTAAGTTCACAGTGTTCCGAATTTCATAGTTTATAGACTTTCATCACCTGATTGCTAAATGAGAGGATTTTTTAGTCCCAACAAATACGTGAATCCACCATAAACACGTAGTGATTGAATGCCAAGATTATATAAACATTTGATTGGTTTTTTTAAACAATGATTACAGTTATAGTTCGAAATTCAAGTAGTTCAAGTACACAAGTTGTAAAGTGTTTCGGATATCTTTGTAGCGAAGAATATATGTAAATATAAAATATAATGATTAACTGTTGAAAAGATGTATATTCTGTTGTTCCTGTGGTCTGTACCAAAATTTTCTGCAAAGCATGTGAATACATTTATTGAATCCAGTTAAGAATTAAAAAAACCCACAAACCAGTATATCACCACCTAGTACATTCCGCTAATTATGCAATGAAATATTTGGACTTTTGAGTTCCTTGACTAGTTTAAAGATACACTGTCATGAACCAAAAAAGAATTAGTGAAGGCAGGGAGGATCAAACAGTTATAACATTCCGTTTGTACATATCCACGTCATCATGAACGTGGTTAGTCAGACTACGAGGTGAGCAGGTGACCGTTTAATCAATAGTTTGGAAACCAATGCTCGACGAGTTCTAACATCTATCATTACGCGATATAACGCCATCACCAAGTAATGACGGTCAGTCTACTACTCATCAGTGACGAGCTTTGAGGTGAATTTCCTGAAGTTCTAATGAGAAGTCATGACCGGTATGGCATACCAAATTACGTATGAGAATGAATGATGCTATGTTGTAAATTAATAGAAGTTAAGATTTATGGAGCATTGATATCCAACCCAATGACTGAATGGTAATGTGGTTGTCTCGGAATCTGACAGTCCTGCGTCAAATGCACCATGTTGCCACTGGTGCATACAGCTGAAAGTCAAAACGACTGGTTTGGTCTCTGGTCTTCATTGACTGTCTTGTTTGTGTATTCATTTCATAACAACTTGGAATTCAGCAGAAAATCTGTAGCTGCCGTGACTTACTAAGATATTATTCATACACGAGAGATTCCGGTGTGGATTTCATGACTTGTGAATAAATGCATAAGACAAATTCAAGGACAAAAGTGAAATGAGTAAGACAAAAGATAACCATGAATGACAGTCAGCTGTATGCTTTTAAGATAACCCAATAATAGGCATTATTCTGAAAGCAACAAACATGGCTGAATTTTTAATGCTAATAATGACTTGATTTCACCTGATTTTCTAAACTTCACCTGGAATTGAAATCTGTGCTACTGATATACTATTGAGAAATACGTAATAAAGCAGAAACCAATTTTTGGAATAATTCTCATGGATTATGTACTTTAGTAGAATAAATTCCCCCTCCCGTCACTTCATGAGATAGTCCGGTCTCAGAAGTACAGAGTTCAAACTATCAGATTTCACACTGCACCTCTAGAGCTTTGAAGATTGGCTTAGAAAAACTTAGCTCTCGACCAAGTATTCAGTTCACTTCAGCCAAAAAGAGGTATTGATATAGAAGCTAGAGTGTACTAGGTGGTTACTTTCACTAATTCCCTATGATACTGAAATCAACAGCGTACAACATCTATCCGTTTATAAAACACACGACTTTCGATATATAAGTTTAAATAAAGTTGCATCTTTACTATTTATCATATTACAATCAAGTGATCTGTACACGCATATGTTTCACTTGATGTTAATACTAATTTGTGACTGCAGTGGCACAATTTTTTTGGGACACTAAGTAGTTACTGAAAGAGACATGTTTATCTCTTAAATAAAGACCATTCCGACAAAAAATACATATATCATTAGCTTATTTTTAATTCACTTTATGATTCGACTATAGCATTAATGACCTTATTTGCAGATGTGAGTCAAGGTGATGATTCTTATTCATTAGTCAGAAGAATGAACCTTTAAGATGTTTCATGACATTGATTTTAATACAGTGAATTTCTGTTGTCATATGATCGGTTATCTAAGCCTTCGATAGTATTAATCCAATAAGACTTTATACATATATGATAAAATACAAATTATTTACCTGACCCAAAAGCGAAGAACACAGTCGAGCTGAAAGACATTTATACAATTGTTGTTGAACATCTGCTGGGAAATTCACCAGTTCACAATATCCACCACGAAGACCACATCTAATTGATAAATACAATTAGCATGTACAGACAAATAATAACATAATAACTAAATTTATTTTACTTTGACTTTATTTATCAGTGATTAGCTTCTATGAGTTGAGAATTAATCATAAATATACTCTGCTACGTAAACTGCTTATTTGTTACACTTCTCCGTAAAATATTTTCATTACTCCGTATGAAAACATAAAAAAGGTGGGGAAGATTGATAATATACGTACCATTTCATATTTGTGTTGACTATGCGCAATCAAAATGACCAATCCTTTTACTTCACAAGTGTTCATACAACTGCTTGCAGTGAATCTCAAGCGTTTCAGTGTATATTACATTACCTACTTTAGGTTCTCAAATCAGAGTGCATTTAATTTGCAAATTATTTCTCCACAATCTTTGTTGTTACGTTTTAATCAGTAGTGCTACATTACACTCAATCCGTTTCGTCTACTATACACTCCAAAGTATAAAATGAACAGACAATTCTGGCCTTTTATTTACATGACATTACTGTGCATCCAATCAATAGTAATAATAATCACTTTGTTCCAAGCACTGATAATTATACAGAATGGAATTTTTAGCGTTTTTATACATATTACAACAATTCAGCTCCTTTTATAAATATGTTCATACTTAAAATTTAAAATAGTAATAATAATATTAATAATGAGACCACTATAAACAGAATGTTGGTGGAAACATAATGAAGTATAAGTAGGTAGTATCATAGATAATACATGTAATAATAACCTCTGCTTATACTTTGCGGTTCAGATTACTGATCTGAAAAGTTTATAAGCTCTTTTTTGACATTTGACTATTTCTTTGCACAAAACCCGTGCTAAATATAGTGGTATGGTAGAATTTTCATATTTAGTTGTACGAGCGTAAATTCCTATGAAGTTTCTTCTGGTTTTATCCGAAGAGATACAACGAGAAATTTGAGAGTAAAGAGGATGTTCAGTATCAGACAAGATAACTTTAGCCAACTGCTTGCGAGAATAGAAGTGCCTACTGACATTAATGTCAGTTAGGTGAGTCAGTGGCACACCACTAACCCTACTTACAGTCTTCAGTGTTCTACGTAATATGACAAAGTCATTTTTGAGAAGTTCAGGGAAGAATAGTGACGAACAGTAAAGGAGAATGGGCAGAATACATGAATTAACAAAATTGTAAGCGAAGAGGCTGAGTCTCAACTTCTTTATGTAATAAGTTAAACGAAACTTTTTCTTAGAAATCAACAGGATGTCAAACCACCAACAGAGATTCAAAGAGAAACTGATACCGAGATCAGAGATATTCGGTTAACTCCTCATCACAGTGCCGTCAATATTACACAATCAGCCCACATCTCCAATGATTCAGACAACCTTCAAAACGCATAGATTTCTGACTTAAGTATAATTTCATATTTTCAGCAAGAATACAGTTACATGATTCTGCTGATTATCGAAACAGGTGAAAAACTTAGTTCCACAGTTTCCTGCTGAACTAATTTACCACTAAACTCCGTATATTATAAGAAACAACAAATAATCAAGTTCAAGTCAAATGTTCTTCAATGCATAAATCTGTTATGATTATATATATATATATATATATATATATATATATATATATATGTCCATACAGCTTAATTGTTCACCTGATTCGGTATAGGGAAGAGGTTAATTGAAACACACTTTAGTCACATGCCTGCATCATTTTAACCTTTGATTTATTATTTTAGTTTAGTGAATAGTTTACATTAGTGAAATTAATAGTATTACATAGTGTTTTGTATCACATGTATGTATTTAAGTTCATTCATTTAACATAGAATGAAGCTACAAGCTTCCATTCAAATCTGGAGTAACTAACAGTTGACTTTTAGAAATAACGAATATTAACAAGTAGAAGGTGTTAATATATCACTTATGTCTCTTGGTGCATGTTCGGATTAATGTCAATTAAACTTACCACTAACACAAAATATACATCCTTTGAATTCTCTCAACAGATATTTAACACTATATTTGAAACTTTGCTATTTTATATCACTTTGTTTAGAGAATGCCAGTTGTCATGGTCCACTGAGACAACGTGGAGCCATTACACTGGTAGTATTAAAAATAAACTTACTCTCCCATATAGCCTTTACTGCTTGACATAAACGATGCTAGTTGTAACTCTTTGGCAATTCGTCCACCAATATCGTGTAAAGCACGTTTAAATGAAACAAATCCTCTATTTGGTGCGTAAATATTGTGTTGATAAACTTCATCTGCCAGTACTACCAAATTATGCTTGTAAGCAAATTGTAAAACACTCGTTATTGTTTCTTTTGGAAGTAACTGTCCTGTTGGATTGCCAGGATTGATTACTACCAAAGCTCGAGGAACACATTTATCTTTACACTTTTCCAGAGCTTCTTCTAACTGTTGAACATTTAAACCCCATTCGTTTGACTCATCAAGATTATAGTCAATCTGCGATGAAAATTCAACATAAGTAAGAGAACGGTTTTATTCTAACCATTAAAAAATTTACTAGTCTGTAATATGATAATATGAAGTTCATGTATTGTCGCAGTTTGGCATGAAACTGTGTTGATCGAGGTAGACATATACGAATTCAAATTCGTTTTAGAAACTACCGAATAAATATAACTGATCAACGTGGAATTTCACACAGAATTAAAGTACTTAAACTTACCATACTTTAAAGAAGTATACAAAACGAAGAAACAGAGGCTACAATGGATAAAACTATGTTTATCAGAAGAACAGTCGCTAACTGAAGATTTGTGAAAATTCTCAGAATCTGAGAGACATCAACAGCATTACTGTACGGCGTCTTAAGCCATACCATTAGAAGTCTGTAATTATTTTGCTTTCCGATGACTCCAGCTAGACAATTTACACCTTGCGTCAACGATTGTATAGATTGATGTCATGTTTTGTTCTAACCACCCCTAAATGGTTTACATCAACCCGATTAGCTAGCATTGCTTGTCAAAGAAGGCAGTGGGTGCGCCTCAGTTGTTTAATGTCCTGTTATGTAGTGAATGGAATCCCGTTTCTGGTCAGCCCAAACTAAAAACACTGTTTAATTTGTTGGCCGCCAACACACAGGCATAGATGAATATAAATAGTTTCCATTGTTGTTAAGTACTGTTAAAGAAGATCAACAGAAGATTTTATTTGAAATCTAATTATGCTTTATCGTCCATATACATATATATATATATATATATATATATATATATATATATGGATCATGTGCACTAGAAATAATGTATAGTTCGAAAGTTATGGCTTTGTTTCGCTGAATAAATTTCATATACGCGATGAGTGAAATAAAATAAAATTGATCTGAATTTTGAATTTTACTATTTAACATATATGATAGAGAATTTCTCATTTGAACGTTTATTTGATTAGTTAATTCATCACAGCACTATAATCATAAAACTGTAAATAGAATGTTTACCTGAAATGACATTTCATTCAGCATACACTTTAACAGTTTGTTTACTTTTAAGGAACTAGACCGGATAGAAATTACTTTGGTGTTACACAAGTGAAAGGAGTTGATAAAAAGTTGCCTTCGCCTAAATTACAGTTAACCAAAAAATTCGTGCCAACTTCCTAGTGAGCTTGGGTGTTGTCTCACTATACCCAATAATAAAGTTGAAGATTTCATTTATTTATTTTTGAAACGTCTAAAGTTTACAAACGGTATAAAGTGAAGTAGTGCATTTCTGAAAGTGTTTTTGTTCAGTTTCATATACTAAAGAGTTGATTGTTTGAAGTAGTTTCACCGGTTTAGTGTCATTTTGTAGTCACCAGGCATGTGAAATATCCGTCGAATCAAATGTAATGTACAACAAAACCAAGAAGTCTTATCTGAACTAAATAATTTGAAGGATATGAGTACAATTGGAAACAAATTTAGTTTTTTTAATGTTATGTTGTGCATTTAGTCAATCACAAAGTCAATGAAACTGTTGGAAAACTGTCAATCTTAAAATGCAAAGAGGAATACAGTAAATTATGTCGGGAAATGATGATTCACTTGATAGACAAATATAGACCACAATTTCAACGAACAGTATCTGAACTAATAAGCCCTAATCAGAATAGGATGTTGGTTATTATCAAAGTAAATAAATAACTCCAGTTACAAAATAAATGCATTCAGCCATAGTCACATAGTACACTAAGGCAACCGTTCAAACAGGAAAAGAATTAACCTTCTGTTATCTTTTATATCAGACTTATTAAACGTAAAATAACACTCTACGCCCAACCTCAGTATTACTCCTCATATTATACTACTTAACACGAGACATACAAGGTAAGCATATATAATCAAAGACAGTTAGCCTCTTCAAGTTTCCCACTTTCAGCAGTCATTTTACAGCCACATAAAGGCCTGAGCGAACGGTTGGACACTACATATGTCTTTTGATCAGTAGCCAGATAGTATAGTGCCGGAAGTTATGTAAGTTGGCAAATGTTATACAAACCTTTTCTATCCATGTTGAGATTTCACCAGCAATAAGTCGACTAGGGCTGATGCAACTTTTAAAATCAGTGAACTGGTCAACACGCTCAGCCACTTCCCACCTTATCTTTAAACTAGGATTCGCCGTAGAGCAGTTCTCCGCCATCGTCTTGCATTTGAAAAGGACAAATCGCATGCTAAAAATACTGAGATTTCTGCTCAAGGTACTTAGAAGACACTGCATTTTGTCAGCATATTCATCTGCGTAGACAATTTTATCTGCATACTCTAAGTCAACGAGACTGTTCTTTGGTAACTAGTCAATCATTAAGTCAATAAAGTCGGTTAGGGTCATGGATATTGCTCAGCAGTTGAATATTCATGGAATACATCTCACAAGAATATAATCGAGAACTAGACATTCTAAAATGTACTGTTTAACATTTCAGTCTTTAAAATATACTAGGAGCTCTTAGATTGTGGCAAGATAACTAAACAGTGCAAATCAAACACCGACATACTTCACAATAGAATGAAAAGTAAAAATAACCGTGCTAAAATCCCTTCAACAAGATGTGTAACAAGTTGATATTTGATATGAAATTGTACACAACCTGGCTTACCTGATAAGCATTGTATTCAGCGTTTGTTGCGGAATAAAGAGGATATTGAGGGATAGGAACCATAACACCAGCACGTCTACAGCCATCCTCCGAAGTAGATATCAGCTGTAAGATAGACTAAAAAAATGAAATAAGACTGTACTTCTTGATTCAGTTAGACGGCTTTCAACATTTTAGGATGAAATACCTACTGATTATAGGTGTAAATAAAAGTGAGAACAGTAAAAATCGCTGATCAATATTTCACCTTTTAACCCTTGCCACTTCATTTACAGAGTAGTACTTTGGAATAAATCTAGACACTAAGCATTAACATTCCACATATCCTGATGATCAATTAATCGTAACTTGTTGGTATTAGTTACTTGTATATCTGTACTGTAATTGTGGTGATAAGTTATGCACTATATATGTATGTCTCAGCTATTTCGTTCGTCATATAACTGCGGTATTTTAATACCATCTACTTTGGAATTTCATTATTTTAGCAAGAATTAGTGACTCATTAGACAGCTTAGCCTCGCAGAGATATTAGAAAGCCACTGTGATTTATTTGTAATAGGTGAACGTACTAAGCAGAATATTTAATTATATTATCAAGAATCTTTAAACAAGAAATATAATGAAGAAATATTTCACTAAATTCTTCCTTTTTAAAGGCAGTTTTGAAAAAATGGGGTTTTACACTCAGTGCTACATTGAGATGACAGATTCATAGGATGTAAATGAATCGCTTAGCCATGTAAACAATGTTATGACATGACAAAATTTTAAAAACAGCAAGTTTTGACTACCTGTACTTACTTTAACAGCTTCACTAGCCCCGGTAGACAGAAAAATATCTTCAGGATTTGCTTGCAACTGATCACGACATTCTATGTAGTTGGCGACATCTTCTCGGACAATCTGGACGCCTGTAGATTGGCTATAAACTCCTAAGAGGTGTTCAAGTATCATATTAATCGAAATGTAGGGAAGCTAATTGTTTTATTTGTACAAGTCTAAAAATAACTACGAAAATAAAATCTATCGACACATTAAGTTTACAGTTGTAATTTATACCTTGATTTATCAAAAAGTAGAAATTAAATCCCTTTTAAAGTATCTAATGGACTATAACTCACGGTGCAACTTACTGTAAATGAGACATTTTGCTGCACTTACCCGAATTTATAAATGAACTGATAAATTCAGATAATCGGACAAAATAACACTTAATAAGAACATTATTCTATACACCTCAAATAGGTAAAAGAAGTACTTTTCAAGTGTTGGTTTGTAGGGATTTGATTGGTCACAGGATTTCATCATGAGCCGACATCGGTTAAAGAACCATTGGAAAAACTGGGAGCACTTTTAATATTACCTTTTATTATTTCGCGACTCTGAAATTTGTGCAATCTGCATATTTTTGTTAGTACATATTCATAATTTAGTACCATTCACCTCATTAGTAACTTAAATATTTAATAATCTGGACACACCTTTCTCTAAAAAATCAAGTGTCACGAAAATTCAAAAACATATCTTTACTACATTTTTACAGGTATATGCTTCTCACCAAATGACCATGTTCAAACACGAAAGTGCGACTTACCAATTTGGGGATTTAACTCTACAATATGGGTTTAAACTCAACCTCATTCTCCCCAGCCTATTATGAAACGGAAGTGATACATGTTCTAAAACTAAGTGTGGCTAATGTCCCATCATATGTATGCATCTGTACTGAGTGTGAACTTAAAATATACAGAATGAAAAATATTTAGTGACCTCAGCATAATAATTTGCCACAATATTTATCTTAAGTGTCTTAATTCTTCTCCGCTGATCACTGATGAAAAGCGCATTTCTAGATTCAGACTTCCGTTACTGATGAAACACCTTGGCGTTTTTAAAGATTCATTTGACTCAAAAATTTAAAACGTTAAATCACCGTTACCGGGATCAAGAAAGCGTTTTGATTAACCACTTTTTTCACTAGAAAAAGAAGTTTAACTAGCTAAGGTAGCCTGAATTTTACACAAAAAGTGACTGCTTGTTTCTTCAGGGAATTTTTAACGAGGATTTTTGTCTTTCCAACGAAACATTATTAGAAGAATGAAATTTCTATATTCCATATAAGTGAAGTAGTATTCAGTAAAACTGATAAATTAGGCGTAGTTTAATTTGCGAGAGTAAAGTTCATTTCAAGTTTGGTATCACTACAAACCGATATCATTCCGAATCACTGAGAACAAGGGGCACTGAAACATAAATATGAAATCCCACTTAACAATGACATGGGAATCAATATACTTGACGATGAGTGAAGAGTAAGTAATGCTATTTGGCTGCTCAAACCCTGGGAAGAACTCAAACAGCAATGCTCCACTTGGACGTTTTAATACCCTTGACCCAAGATTTGGTCATATACTGATATGGCTATTCCCCCTTTCCTCCTTGTACAGTTTTCAACTACATTTTTACATGCATCGGTAGATTCACTTGGTGGTGCGTAGCAGTCTTATCAACAAAATATATCAGCTGAAACAATCGCTGAAAACTTGTTGGAAACACACCGATCTTTGGTTCTCTATCCATCATTACCACTGATAGCAGTGCACACTTTAAAAGCCGCCTATTTCAGTAACGCGATGATCTGCTAAGGATTAAACGCATGTGAACCACATCTTATCATCCTATTTCTAACAGCGTGGTCGGATTACTGTGCAGGTAACTCACCCCTTAGCTTCATGTTAAACCAACTGATAGATGCTTGTCATTCACTTTCCTATTAGTACAGTCGGACATAAGAGAGCTAATTTAAAGGAAGACATTAGATACTGCGCCCCCAGTGTAGCCTACAGAACACTGTTACGACTACTAAAAGTGTTTTTCACCTTAGATAAATAGTTCACATGAAATGATTAACCATATACAGTTATTGAAGAGCGTAGCTTCCACAACAGCAAAAATGGCAGTTGCACATACCATTTCAGTCGACAAACTGTATTTATATCATTGTCAGAAGCGACAGATTTAAGCAACCCCTGAGACCGGTTTGAGATAGTCTGTTTGAAGTTCTAGGAAGAAGTAGCAGTCACCGCAATGGAACGAACCAGTTAGAAACACTGCAAATATCCATAAGGTTAAATCAGCAAAAGTTTACAATACTTTGAGGAAAGATAATGAACATCTTAATAATAACAAGTGGTTAGAATAAAACGATCATACAATCACCTTGAACGAAACCACACACACCTGCAGTTATAACATTTCCAAGCAAATTTGTTCAATCAGAAGCGATAGCTTTGTCACAAATAAATCAAACTATCAATCACAGATGACAAAGCAAAATGATTGGCTATTAAAAAAAATAAATTGTTAAACTGGTGAGGGTTATAGTAATCAATTACTATCAAAAACCTTGGAATAAATTTTTTTCTAGAAGTGTCTAGATGTGGAAAGTTCAACCTAGCAATGATACGAGTGCATTTAGTGAAAACAGTAACACTAATAAATTCAAAAATGATCATTATTTTCATGTTAGGCGAATATATCTACACTAAATCACAAGCTCACCTACACTTCCACCACAACTTTCCAAAAACCGTTTGGCTCTCAGTTTAGCATCATCCGGCACTAAATTGCTCTCCATAACAACGTTGTTTGTAGCAGCAGCTAATACATCACGAATGAACTTTATGGGTTTTTGACCAGAAGCATGACAGTCTCCTATGTTACACCGTATAATTTTGCTAAACTTTTTGTGAGAATCCTGCGTGGTTAGAATAAAGTATTTCAGAAAATCACCTCGGCAATCTCTTTTTCTATTTCAGAAGCCCTTTGTACTATCGGGCCACGTACAGCATATTGTAGATTAACAACGTTAGGATTAATTGTGTTGCATGTCATTTTTTGATAGGCTCGGACAGTTGTGTAGACGGCATACGTAGCATTAGAATACTTCGAACATATAAAACCAACCATCATTTTCCGAGATTTTAAAAACCTTCTCTTTATGTTTTGTATGAGTGACCTAAATATTCAAACGAATAAACAAAAAGCGATGAAAACTACCAGAAGTTCTGGTTCAGAGTAAAACGTATATTACAGTTCCATACATATGAGGCTAATTGTTTTCTTTACCGAACAAAAAGTAAAGAACTCACTTGAGGCACATGAAAGCTGATGAAAACCGTATGAGTTAAAAGTAGCTGCAGAGGTCATTTGTTGTCAGGGTGAACTTCGCCTATACGCGTATATAACAGCGTACCAAATAGCATGGGTATCACCGATAATATCAAATAATCCTTCGCAACGTCTCTTTAATTCCCGCGTATCCCAAGCCAAATTGCATTTAACCCAAAGCCACATCGAGAAATTCATGAGTAACCTCAACTATCTCTGGATCATTGTGACCTGGTCAGACACAAAAAATTCAGTTCATTATCACCAGCTGATCTGAAAGCATTTTTTCTTGCGATTTCTAGTTTTACCATCAGCCTCAGCGGAATTCCCAGTTCGGTCGTGCAGTGACTGCTATAAAAGGAGTCTTTTGTCACCTGTTGTTTATCTATATGCCGATTTGAATCTACTCAGTCGTGCTAAGTAAAAGGCAAAAATGTTACTTCTTGTGTGGAAAGGACAGTCTCTATGTGGCATGAATGACTTTCTACATTGCGTACCATACTTCAGGCATCGTTTGCGAGTGCAGTGTACACACAAAGCAATATTCTTCACGACATTCATACCATCTAATAGTCTTGACTGCCCAATCTCAGCTGAATGAATTGACTTCATTAGTGAGGATCAGCATCCGCTTCTGAAATATAAAGGATCTATGGGCTAATTATTTCATCGAGTTATGTACAAATTTTCATATATTTGGTTCAATGACTTCATAGCTGGTTTGAGGTAGCCCGTTCAATGATACTAATTGGAAACAAGTGCTAAATGGCAGAACTCTCACTGCAATTTTTCTGGTAGTGAGTGGTCTTTTGATGGTCTGTTTTTGCCAATAGCTTCACCACGCATGAATTCACCATATCAGTCTTCCGGTACTCGTGCTTCATTGCATCCGTCAGAGAAGATAGAAAAGCGGTGGACTTTTTGAAAAAAATTGACTGGGAAGCTTGGTTTATTTGCACAGACTTGCACACTCCTTGAATGGGGAACACTGGAAGAGTACTTCCAGTTTTTTGAACGGGGTACTAGGAAATTCCTGTGTATAGTGGAAAAACTGATGTATCCAAAGTAGATTTTTGGCAAATAAAGCTATTTTTCCTGCACCTTGAATTATCTGAGTGAAGATGCTCTGGAAACTTTAAGGTTCTCCCGGAACTCGTTTCTCCCTGCCTCACTCAGATCTCCCGTTCACTGCAAAGTATTGTCCACCTCTCCAAGTACTGAGAAGCATTCTTTCATTTGAATGTTATTTGGAGGACAAGTCATTACTCGTAGGCTTGCCCTGCGTACATTCCAATTTTAAAGGGGAGTCATTAATGCAGCCGTCATGTCTGTTTTAATCTGAAGCGTGAAGTATTTCCGTCCGTTTGGTTTTCCGGATGGTCCATCTTATGGAGATACCACTGGCCCTAAAAATTGGTGCATACGCGTAAAAACGGTTTTTAGCCTTGGTTATAAATGTGTATAAACAGTAATCGAAGGAGGGTGGGCTTGAGTAAACATTCATGAGCCTTTTTGGACACAATGCGTGATCGATTTCTCTAGGAAAACTGTTAGAAGAAACGAATTTATCGCGTGATTATAGTGTCACTTTGTGTATGGAGTTTTAGCTTGTACGGAAGGGGTCTCATTAATGGAAAGGTAGATAACTAACGGTAGGCTGTTTCCCCAACGTCTGAAAGGTCTAGAAATTTTGTTTAGATAGGCAGTATATTGTGTGCTGATGATCCTGCACATTTAAAAAATACTAATCACTTGACCTTTCTTTTTGTAACCCACACAGACAACATAATCCAGTTGTCGCAGGTATGTCAGTATTTTAAGTTCTCGTATGAGACAGGATCAATAATTAACCGAAAGTTATGTTAAAAATTTCTGGTGGAGTCGGATCTGAGATTTCACAGAGTATTTTTTATGAAATAAAGCTATTGGTAGTAACATCGAGAGTTGTTTGGTGTTCAGATAACTTCTCATTGGGTAATGTTATCGGGTTCCATTGATATTATCATTAGACAGCCAGACTAGAATGTTAGTGGCGAGATATGAGTGGGAACTTTATTCAGTTGAGAACTAGTGGGTTAAACAGAGTCAGGTATGAGGCATATCTGAAGCTAGGCTAGGATAGCCAAGATTATGAAGAGTGAAAGTAGTTAAATAGGTGGGTATTACATTGAAAGACAAAGCAGTGTTAAGTGTCCCTTTTTGTGTCCAAGTATAGCGACTGTAAAGGATTTATAGAAAAATTGGTGGATCGCAAATCAAAGCTATTACAAAGTGATCTCTAAAATGAAACCGTATACATGACAGGGTAGCGAGATACAGTATGGACAAGGAGGGCGGGAATGTTTCTGGCAATCAGATGATTTTTAGTAATAAATGACCACGACTGTACGGGCTTTTGTCTAACATTCAGATACATAGCGGTAAACAGTTCCCTAAAGTTATCAGCTAATGCCTTTCCCCATTCACCACCTATAGTTGACCTTAACTGTTAAGGCTGGCCATTTATGATGAAGGTACGCAGTCAAGCGCCCTCTCTATTTGAATTACTTTCAAGCCACATTCAATTTTCTGCAGTGACAACTCGTCACTGCCAAACCGTAATAATACAAAAATGCATTTCATATTCCGGGAAACCGAGTATTAGTTCTGTTCCGGGCTTGAAAAGTCACCCTTATGAACCAGTTTGTTTTTTTCATCACGCCTAAAATAATTTTGCGATTATGCAAGACATCAACAAGGTGGTGTTAAATTGCTAGAAGAAACAGGGAAAGAAAAACGGATTGCATTAAGACAAGAAAATTGGTATCAGACTGGGTTGTGATATGAAGTGTGATTCGCCAGAGGAATAGTGCTGTAAATGGCAACTGGCTAACAAATAAAACTTCCATTGAGAATGGATGCAGAAAGAAAGGCTGAACCATCATAAGTTGGAAGTTTACTTTGCAAATAATCAATAAGTTTATTTCGAAGTAGAAAACACCTTCAAAGTTTTAGCCAACTGTTCGTTTATATCTGAAAACTGGGAATATATGGTTAAAAAAATCCTGAAAGCTATCTAATTTACACACTGAAAGCTATTGTTTTACGGAAGTGAGGAAACCGATTCCTTTTTAAATACACATCGTTATGGTTTGGGGTAGGATAAAGGCTATCGCAATGTATTTTCACGCACTGTATGTGTCATCGCGTTCATGTCTATAGAGGCGTTATAAGAGTGAGAATGGAGAAATATTTAAGTGACTGTAACTATAGCAGCCCAAACCGGAACTACCTAGCAAACGGATAATGACCTTGACAGCGATAACTTCGACCAGTTAGATGCCAATATGGAAACAGCGCATAATTTGAATAAAATGTTTATTCAGAAGTTTGGAGTAACTTAGACTTGGCGAAAAATAACTTAAACTGAAAAAAATAGGGCAAAGTTCAACAATAGCTTCCGAGGAGTGTGAACGCTCCAATGACCTTGAACGCATGCTAGTCGTTTGCTAACGGCATCTGTCATTATCATAGCTGAAAGATCAACGCTATTCACCAACATATGGGCAAATTTCACTCAGATCGCGTGTTTAAGTTCTGTTTGTACAATGTGTTAATAGCTCGTTAGGATTAAGATTAGGGTCAAGTTAAGTATTGGGGTTAGGTTTCGGGTCAGGGTTAAGTTTATGGTTACGATTAGGGATAGATTTATGGTTGATGTCATTTATCTTAATGTTTTTATTATCCACATTTTCTGGTTAGTAGTCGTCTTTCCTCTTGCTGGAAACTATAATAATTCAACCGAGGGTTTTTTTGGAAGACTTATTGCTGCTCTATTTTGACTGAACTAGAATGCACGTATATCTTAGTACTTCTTCGCGTTTATATTTGTGTCCTAACGTTGTGATTACTCGACATCCACAACGTAATTAAAAAGGCACTTGCGAAGGAATACGACAGTGTATTATTGCAGCAATCAAAATTCAAAAAATCGAGCGAGTACAAAAAGTATCAATTGTTAACATGCATC